GCCCGGCATGAGTTTTAAGCCGCTGGGTCCGGGACTTGAACTGCGGTTGACTACATGGGAGTCCAGCGACATAGCCATTACGCTAACTACTGGTCTTCACATTCTTCATTTCTAACAATGAGGACTTCCTCATCTCCTGGAGCTCATTGTCTCTTTTCTCTTGCATCTCATTTGGTTTGGTCACTACACAAGAAAACACATGGATGAATCTCCATAGAATTATGCTGAGTTCAGAGAGTTAATCCAAGAGTATCTTCTGGATGATTACATGTATATAACAAATAGGGATAGAAATAGCCATCAGATTGTAGGTTGCTGGGAGGTAATGAAGGAGTAGGGTGCTGGAGGAGAGTAACTGTGTTGGCGACCTGCTCTTTAGGTTCACCCTAAGGAGGAAATGATGAGAAGTGCTCATACACCACGATATGAGGAGAGGGGAGCTTAGAAGTTCAGATTTTTCTTATCCTCCTTCCCTCTGTATCTCAGTTTTAGTTCAGTATTTATTGAGTGAACAAGAAGGTTTGTTAAACATCACACTGAATAGTTAGCAGAATTTGTCATGTTCTTGATCCTATCTCTTATTCTCTGCATTATATATAGAAAGCTTGAAAACCAAATCAAATAGTGCAAAGTACAGAAGGGGAAGGAGTTTCATCTATAGATATACCCTAAGGCAAAGCAGTCTGTCAGCTGTATTCAGCTAAGACTGACACACAGCTGTCTTCTGCTGTGTAAGGCAGTACATCTGCAAGCATTACTTCCTAAAAGTTGTTTAAACTCTGTTTAACCAGTTAGCAATAGTCATTGCTTGTCCTTCAACAGTAGCTTTAAAAAGGGCAGCATGAGGATCTCTGTGTGGTGACGAAATGTCTGTATCCTGAATGTATCAATGTTAATATCCTGATTGTAATATTGTACTGTAGTTTTGCAAGATGTTACCATTTGTGGAAATGGAGTAAAGGTATACAGAATCTCTGTATTATAGTTATGTGTGAAACAACAATGATCTCAAAGTACAATGTTGAATCAGAGGGACCAGCATGTAGCATGGTGGTTGGGATGTGGGACTCTCACATGGCTCACCATGGATTTGAGTCCTGGACCTGGAGACTTGGTTTCTTTATTTCTCTCCCTCTTTCTCTCTCTCTCTCTCTCTCTCTCTCTCTCTCTCTCTTTCTATCACATGCCCTGCAGCAAATTTAAAAATGATAAATAAAATTAAATAAAAATAATTCTTAAAAAACTTGAGTTAGAAAATATTTAAATAGGGGGCCAGCAGGTGGCATGGTGGTTAAGACGCTGTATTCCCACATGGCTGACCATGGTTCGAGTCCTAAACCTGGCGGCTTGCTTTCTCACTTTTCCTCTCTCTTTCTTTCTCTGTGGTGAGCACATATGTCCTGTAGCAAATTAAAAAATAATAAGAATAATGATAAATAAATAGATAATTCTTTATAAAAAAGAAAATAGTTAAGTACCTAATGTTAGATACTGTGTTAACCATTAAATATGAAGTGTCAAGCAAAAAGTGACACAGTGTCAGACCTTATAATGCATTGTAGAAGGGAAAACAGACATTGATTATTAATAAATAATCATGTAAATCCAAGTATCAAAGCTGTAGTAAGTGCTGTAAAGAAAGTTGTAAGAACTAATAATAAGAAAATTTGACTGTCAGGGAAGATGTGACCCAGGTAGAAAGTAGATTGGGGAGCCTTTCCTTAGTAGCTGCATGATTTGGGTCCAGTTAATTAAACCCTTTGTGTCTCAGTTTCCTGGTCTGTTAAATTGGGATAATTATAGCACCTAAGTATTAGGGTCGTGATTATATTTAATGCAAATATTAAATGAATGAATCTATAAAGTGCTTAGGATTGTGTCAGGCATACAGCTAAGTTCTGTTTTAGTGTTAAATAAATAAAAGCATACTTGATGTGTGATCTCAAGAAGGAACAAGGGAGGACCTGGGGTATGTTCTAGGCAGGGAGGGCAACAGAGGCCTGAGATAGAACAGGGGAGAACCCGGGAGGACAGAGAAATAAAAAAAATCAGTGAATTTAGAGTACTGCAAGAAGCATACACTATGAAATGAAACTGGTGAGCTGCTCTAGGTGGGGACCAGGCTGCCTAGAGCTTTGCCTACTCTGTATAGTTTGTGTCCTAAGGGGGTGGAAAATGATGAAAAGCTTTTAATCCATGGCGTGGGGAGAGATTACTGATCATATTTGCTTTGGGGGGAAAAAGAACATGCTAGCTGCTTTGTGATGATCAGATTAGTGGGAGGCAAGGTGATTAGATACACAAATCATTTAGGATTTCATTGCAGTTAAACCAGGCTAGAGATTTTCCAAGGCTATTTTGAATCTTCATAACTCTGCAAGAATAGGTTTGCAAGCTACTTCGTATCTATTGTAGTATTTTGAAATGGCTTTAAATATATTTTTTGAAAATTAAAAAGGAATAGGTGGGGCCAACCCTGTGGCGTGGTGGTTAAGGTGGCTGGATTCCACATGGCTGACTGTGTGGTTCAAGTCTCAGACCCAGTGACTTGAAAAATGCTGGACATGGGCAGAGAATGGAGGAGAAGGGATTGCCTCCCTCTGGGGAAGCATACTCACTTTTCCTCTCTCATTTATTCTCCATCTCTATCCCGCCAGTGCACATGCCCAGTGGCCAAAATAATAATAATAATATTTTTAAAAATTTTTAAAAGGACAGAGTGATTGTATTTTTTTTTCTTTTGTTGTAAAAGAACAGAATTTCAGCTGCCAAATTATAGCTTAAATTGCCTTTTGTGGACAAGTTTGGGAATTGGCTTTAGAACCTAAGAAGTTAACAGTGGTATTCAGATTTCCTTCTATTATATTTTATTCTTCCACACAAATTTGAAATTTTTAAATAGTTTTTGCTATAGTGTACGTGTACTCTCGGTGTGGGGGGGGAGGGTATAATGTGAGAGATCTCACCTCTTCCCGCCCAGGGGTATAACCATGTAATCCCTTCTCCTCCATTCTCCTCTCAGGATTTCGGATATGCACACACATGCCCAGTGTGATTTTTCAAGCCAGCAGGTATAGTATAGGCAATATTTGGTACAAAGTTCACTTGGGTGAACTTAGATCCCACTTGCCTGAAATCCATATTCATCAAAATGGCTTCTGGAAGGGTCAGATTTATAGGGAAAATGGGGGAAAGAGAGGATTACAAAAGTATTTTTCCCCTGAGAATCATATTGGTTTATAAGAATAGCACTTTTCTGATTCACTTTTTGGTGTTTTATAGATCTTATTCTAGTAACAGCTAAAGGCAGGAAGTAGGGTTATAATCTTAACCAGCAGGCCACAGAACAGCCCCAGGGAATTCTTTGTTTAGATGTGTCCTTGAGCAGCTACTTTAGTGTGGGATCCTACTGAGACTCTATGCACTTAACTCTTTGGGCCAGTTTTAGCAGACCTCCTCATTCCTCAGACTGCTTTGAACTGTTTTCTCAATTCCATTATTTGTCTTTCATTCTCTTCATGTACATATTATGACATACCTAAAAATCTTGTTTTACAAGGCTTACTGGTTTGACTGCTTTTGTGAGCAGTACCTTTCAAGTCTGACACATGCACCTTCCAGGTCTTACTAATGTCCCCTCACTTATGTTGGACTCTTATTTTGATGTTGAGCACATTAGATGTACTTTAAAAAAATAAAACTATTTATGAATAATATTGTCTTTTGAATGTAGAGAGTAAGAATAATGAAAATATATGTTTATTTAATTTTACCTGCTTTGAAAAATGAAAATTCCTGCCTGTTAACAACTTTCACTATGGTTGTTTAACATGGGCTCTGAATATTTAAACTAAACAATGATGAAAGGAGAGTGAAATTAACATTTAAAAAGTGTTTAAATAGGGGCCAGCAGGTGGCATAGTTGTTACTGTGCTGGACTCCCATATGGCCAACCCGATACCGGTCCTGAACCTGGCAGCTTGAAAATCATGCCAAGCGTGTGTGTGTGTGTGTGTGTGTGTGTGTGTGTGTGTGTGTCCCAAATTCCAGGAGCAGACTGTAGAAGAATGGATTGCATAATGGCCATCCCTCTTGGGTGGGTGACTTCTCACTTTCCCTTTCACTGTCTCTCTGTTTCTCTCCAGTGAGCCCACATTGCCCTACGGCAAAAACCTTTTTCAAAAAAATGTTTAAATTACAGTATTAATTTTTAAAATTAGGTAGTACATAAACCTGGTAAAATAAGGTACAGCCTCCCTTCCCTTCAGACCTAGTACTGTAGCCATATAGTTCCCTTCCCCGTAGACAACTTTCTTGGAAATCCCTCCAGAGATATAGTCTATACCCAAGATCTTCAGAAAGTTCATGGTAAATGTGTATTATGGAGAAAACTATACGTGGATTTCAAGAAAGACTTTTTTGTGTGCCCAAAATCTCCAGTTTAATTCCATTTTCACATAAATTTTTAAATAATTATTTTTTATTAATTTTATTTATTATGATTATTACTTTTAAATTTGACCAGAAAGACAGAGAAAGTGAGAAAGCAAGCCACCAGGTCCCGGACTCAAACTGTAATCAGCTATGTGGGAGTCTAGTGCCTTAACCACCACACCACTTGCCAGCCCCTCACATTACTTTTTGAAATTCCTGCATATAAGCAATTATGCTTCTCCCCTCTGCTTTTTGTGGGGAGGGGAACCCACATATTGTAGCATACTATAATAAATATACTTTACAATTTTTAACTTAAGAGTTGTTCTTAGAGATTGTTTCATAACACTACCTGAAATTCTTTATTCTTTTAGCAGCTTCATAGTAAGAATAAAATTAAATCACCCTGAAATACTTAACATAATAGTGAGCTATTGTTACAGTGAATGGACTTACTATTTTTTAAAATATAGAGTTAATAAGTTCTCTTTTGTGGTATTAAACTAGATGATTTTTATTTTGTTAGAAATATATTAAAACCATTCCCTTCCCTTTTTATTTTTCAGATAATCAGACAGCTAAATGGAGTCTGAGCAGCTGTTCCATAGAGGCTACTATAGAAACAGCTACAACAGTATAACAAGCGCAAGTAGTGATGAGGAGCTTTTAGATGGAGCAGGTGTGATTATGGACTTTCAGACTTCCGAAGATGACAATTTGTTAGATGGTGACACAGTAGTTGGTAAGTTCAGCATTATAGCTCTACTTATAGTTATGAATATCTAATAATAAGCATATACTTTTTTTTTTTGAGCAGTTTTTGCTATAGGGCGCGTGCGCTCACCAGACAGAGACAGAGAGATAGAAAGCGAGAAATCACCCCCCCAGGGGGGATGGCCACGCCATAATTCCTTCTCCTCCATTCTCCTCTCGGGATCCTGGGCATGCACGCACACGTACCTGGTGTGTTTTAAGCCACCGGGTCCGGGAAGCGAATCGCGGTTGACTACGTGGGAGTCCAGCGACATAGCTATTACGCTAACTGCTGGTCCCAAGCATATACGTTTTTAACTGATGTTAAATTTTGGACTACCTTCTTTTAAACTGAGGTGGAGTTCACATAACATACACTTAACCAGTTTATTTTTTTTAAGTTTATTTATTAATTTCTTCTGAGAGAGAAAGAGAGAGAGTGATAACACACTCAGTAGGATTTTAATTCCATGATACACTCCAGCCAAGCCATCAGCCAGCCCTGGATTGTGGATGCACACGTGCCTGGCATACTCAGGAAGGTCTCCAGATGCAAACCTCATGTGGGCCAGCCTTGCAGACCATTGTGTTTTAACACTGCACCACCATCTGGCCCCCAGCTTAGCCATTTTATACTGTACAATTCAGCGGCATTTATCAGTTTCACAATGTTGCGTAACTGCTACTTGTATCAAGTACCAAAGGTATTCTTTACCTGGAAAGAATATCTCACGTTTGGGTCAACTTTTAAATTTAAATATAATGTTATACATAGAGGTATATAGTCATCAACTCTTAAGTGTGGAAATTGATGAATTTTTGCAAAATGAACGCATTCATATGTCCCTCAATCAAGAAATAAAGCACTAGATTGGGCCCATAGAGCAGTGGTTGAAGTAGCAAGATCCCGTATGGCTTACCGTGGTTTACCTGTCTCAGTGGCTTGAAAAACACTGGATATGTGTGCATGCATGCTCAAAATCCTAATCCTGAGGAGTAGAGAAGTGAAGGAAAAAGGGATTACAGTGTGACCATGCTTCATCAGGGTTACTTTTTTCCCTCTCTCTGGCAATAAAAACAAAAACAAAAACAAAAACCGGAAAACACTTAAACATTGTTAGTTCTTCCAGAATTCTCCCTTGTTTCCCTTTCAGTTTCAAAGGTAACTATTAACTTGATTTCTGGCTAAATTAATTTTACAGTTACTTGAACTTTCTGTAAGTGGAATTATATTGTGTATACTCTTTTTATGTCTGGCTTCTTTTATTTAGTTTTGAGATCATCTATGTTATTGCAAATAGCAGTAGTTAATTAATTTTCGTTGCCATGTTGTATTCTGTTTTGTAAATACTTGATCATTGGGAGATAATTTTTTCCTTCAGCTTTTGGTTATTACTAATAGTTCTGTGAATCTTCAGTACATATATTTAGTTCATTTATGTACATAATTCTCTGTAATTTATATATCAGTATAGAATGCTTAGATCACAGAATATGTGTATCTTAGTGTTATTAGATACCATCAAAGAGACTTCCAAAGTGGTAGCACATACATTTCTACTGATAGTGTGTGAGAATACTGTTTACTCCATATCTTGATCAATATTTGATATCATCAGATTTAAAAATTTATTCTAGTGTGGATGTAGTTTTAATTTTTTCCTGGTGTCTTTTGAGTTTAAATACCTTTTTGTATACTCATTGGCTTTTAAATTTTTCCTCTTTTGGAGTATGCATTCAATTTTTGGCTTATTCTGGAAGAGATTATTATGGATTTTGATTAGGAATCTTTCATTAGACACATGTATTGTGAATGTTTTCTCTCACTTTGGGATATGCCTTTTCACTCTTTTGGTGAATTAACTAATGAAGATATCATCAACTCTAATGAAATCTAGTTAATCTTTTCCTTTATTCTTCATTCTTTTTCTGTTTAAGAAATCTTCCATACTCAAGGTTATAAGATATTCTTTTTTTCCTAGAATTTTAATTTCTGTATCATTCTTATTTAGCTTTACAATCTACTTGTTAATTTTTGCATTCATTTTATCCATATAAATAATGGAAAAAACCCTTTCTTTTTCTAGTGGACACAGTGACATCTTTGTTATATATTAAGTTGCTATATATCTGTAGACATGTTTCTGGACTTTCTATTGTGCTACACTGCAATATTTGTCTATCTTTATACCAAAACCCAGCATACATTTCTGTTTTATTTTTTATTGATCCATAGTTTATATATGTTAACATAATTACCATTATATTTGGTTTCAAACCTTCCACCTGTCTGTGTTTTGTTAATTCCTTTCTTCTTTTCTCTTATTTCTGTTCTCCCCAATGCCTTGTTTGTTCTACATGCCCTTATTTTTTGTTCTGTGAGTTACTCTAGAGGTCATTAGTTCTACAAATTATTACTTCTACCACCTTCATGGAAAATGTAAGAACCTCAGAATACTTTATCTCTTTTTATCCCCTCCTACTTTTTGCACTATATTGTCCTGTGTTTTAGTCCCTGTATATGTAAAACTGCACAAGAAGTTATCGTTCCTTTGTACGGTCAACGTTTATTTAGATTTAACCACATCTTTACTATTGCTTTTAATTGTATATGGACATAGAAAATTACATGCATAAATGCATGTGAATTTTCATGTTTTTGTCTGTGAAACTTTTTTTCTCTTTAAAGATTCCTTGTTGGGGGTCACCTAGTGTCATGGTTAAGTGGCTTGATCCCAACATGGCTGACTGTGCAATTAGAGCCTCGGACTGGTGGTTTGGAACAATGCTGGCATGTGCACATACAGGCCCAAAATCCTGAAAGGAGAATGAAGAAGGACTGCAGTGTGGCCATCCCCCCTACAGGTTGCTTTCTCACTTTCACACTCTCTAGCAAGCCCATGTGCCCTATCACAAATTAAACCAAAACAAAAACAAACTCTCATTAATATATCTTTTTTTTTTTCCCTCCCTCAAGTTTTCTCTATAGGGTATGTGTGCTTGCTGGAGAGAGAGAGAGAGAAAAAAAAAAAAAAAGTGAGATATCATCCCCCCTGGAAGGGGTGGCCATACTACAACCCCTTCTTCTCCATTCTCCTCTGGGATTTTAGGGCATGTATGTACACGCACCCAGCATGATTTTCAAGCCTCTGGTCTGGGGCTTGAACTGCATAGCTGGTCATGTAGGATCCAGCCCCCTTAAACTCCACACCACTTGCTAGCCAGATGTTTCTTTTAATGATAGTCTGCTAGTAATAGATTCACTCAGTTTTTTTAAAAGTCTGTTTTACTTTATAGATCTGTAATTATTTTCTTTGAGCATTTTAAGGAGGTGATTCTGGTGTCATTTGCCTTTTTTTATTTTCTCAAAAACTCATTTATCAGTCTTATTAATGCCTTTTTTTAAAGTTTCAAAATTTTTTTTAAAGTTCATTTACTTCTCCCAAAAGTGAGAGACAGAGTCATGGAAAGAGGCATCCCCAACAGGGTCTTCACAGCTGTGATCTCTCTTCAGACTCAGCTGGCCCAGATCACAGGCTTCATGCATTTATGCGTGACATGTTCAGGAAGGTCCCAGGACATGAATCCAGGACTTTGCTCCTGTGGGTCTGCTTGCACTACCACTGAGCTACCACCTAATCCTTTACTGTTTCTTGAAGGATATTGTTTTTCTAACATAGCTGATATGATCCTGTTAACAGTAGCAAGGGGTGGGAGGTGGGGACCTCAGATCAGATCTACCGTCATGGGCTAAGACAGATATCAGAGGAAAGAGCTCATTACTGTTTCTGCTTAGTATCTGGGAAGTATGGAAGTGGACAGTAGGGTAAGCAGTTGAGTACTAAGTATTCTTTCATGATTCAGTCTTTTTTTAGGTTTTAGGGCACGTGCGCTCACTGGAAAGAGAAAGAGAAAGTGAGAAATCACACCCCAATGGGAATGGCCTTTCCATAGTCGTTCTCCTCCATTCCCCTCTCAGGATTTTGGGCTTGCACACACATGCCCAGCGATTTTTAGGCTATGGGATCTGGGACTTAAACTGTGGTTGGCCACGTGGGAGTCCAGTGCCTTAGCCACCACACCACCTGCTGACTCCAATTCAGTATCTTTTTAGCATGCTAAAACATCAGAACTAATCACAGGCATGTACCAGTGGTGTTTTGGTGTGTGCATCGAATGAAAGTCTGTAATGTTCAGAGGCTGTTAGGTTGGAGCCTGAATTTACATCTTAGCTCTGGCAGTAGAAATCTCTGTAATCTTTGGCAAGTCATTTAGCCTCTTTATGCCTCACTTTTTTCTTATGTAAAAAAAATATAGGAATAACTGTTTAGATCATTGCTCTGAGAATTAAGTGCATGTAGAGATCTTAACACAGAAGTGAGGTATACACAATGCTTTGTGGTGACTTGCTGATGGTAAAGACTCAGTAAATAGTAGCTATTCTATTTTCTTATGTGTTACCTCACCTTTGAATATGTTAGACTATCCCTGCAACATAAATAATTTCCCTTTATGTTAGCATTTGAGTGAAGTGTCAGTAACACTGCCAGTAGTATTAATGAAAAACATATATTCTAGAACTCAGATATGACATCTGGTTTAGGATTTAGCTTGTAGCAGTAAACCTGTTTGGACTTCACTGACTCGAGTAGATATTATAGTTATTCATTTGTTGAGTAGCTCTTTCTTTGAAAATAACTGCAACGCATGTACTCACTAATCTCAAAAATGTCACCAGTCTAATTTCAAAAATCGAATCAGAGGCCAGCAGGTGGTGTGGTGGTTAAGGACGCTGGACTCCCACATAGCCAACCACGGTTCTAGTCTTGGACCTGGCGGCTTCCTCTCTTTCTCTCTCTCTGTCCCTCTCTGGTCAAATTAAAATAAATAAATAAAGTTAAATAAGTCAGTTCTCAAAAATAAAAAAAAAATTAGCATCAACCTGGTTAGTATAAATACTGAATAATCCAGAGCACATTGTGGTTAAAAAAAAAAATAGAAGTTATCCTTAATAACAGGGACTTATTAATACTATCAGTTAAATTTAAGGTAGAGAAAAGCTAAATTAGGCTTGATTCATAATTATATTTAAATATATCTAGTTTGAGTGAATCAGGTTAGTCAATAATTCAGATTCTTTGGAAAATGCAAAAAGGATTGTTGGAAGTAACAGAGAGGGCCAAGATGTTGTTGCTACAGTTGTAGTCACTAAATAAGCCATATGGTTCTTGCTTCTTTGAAGCCCATAACTGTTCATAGTACAGGTATGTAATTGTTCTTTTTTTTTTTTTTTTTGAGAGGTTTTTGCTATAGGGCGCGTGCGCTCGCCAGACAGATAGACAGATAGAGACAGAGAGACAGAAAGCAGGAAATCAACCCCTGGGGGTGTGGCCACACCGCAATCCCTTCTCCTCCATTCTCCTCTTGGGATCTTGGGCACGCACGCACACGCGCCCGGCGTGAGTTCAAGCCACCGGGTCCGGGACTCGAACCGCGGTCGAATACATGGGAGTCCAGCGACATAGCCATTATGCTAACTGCTGGTCCCTGTAATTGTTCTTTTCATCTTTGATTGTAGTAAAAGAATTACTAGGATTGATTGGGGTGAAGCTATAGTCGGTCACATGTTTAAACATTAATTTTCAAAAGTTAATTTATATTGATGATATGATTGAACTAATATGTTTAAATTTTAGGCCCATCTACCTTTTTTATTCTATTCTAATCTATTTCGATTTGTTCTATTCTATTTCTTCTTTTTTTAAATGCCAAGGATGCATGCATAAGAGGGAGAGAGGGAGGAAGGAGAGAGACGCCAGAATGGAGTCTGGTCACACTGGAGTTCTTTTCCGTCTGATTCTCTACCCTGCCAGGATCTGGGGCATGCGTAGGCATGCCTGGTGTGTTTTTGAGCCAGAGCCTGTTCTTGAATCCTAAAAGGCCATGTGGGATCCAACTTTCTCCATGCAGGGCCCAATTTCTGTCCTATGAAGCTGCCCCCCCCCCCTTTTCTTTAAAGTTTATTTCTCCCAAGAGTGAGAAAGAGAGCACTCTAACAGAGTTTTGATACCAGACTCCATCCCCAGCCTTTAGCCATCTCTGGATCATGGGCATACGCCAACCCAGAACCTTCACTTGTGGGTCAGCCTTGCAAAGCTTTGTGTTTTACCACTGTACTACTGTCTGCTCTCTGCCCTTCATGTACCTTGTCTGAAATGTTAACTTGCCAGTATAAAGGATCAGGTCCAGGTTTCTAGATTGTGTATAGACTGTAAGAGAAAAATATGAGAAGAATGACAGAGAGGGCTCATTCCTAATTGCTTCAATGTCCTATCTATAGATAGCCTGAAAAACAAAATACAACCCTTGGGAATACTAAAATGCAAACATAAAGCATTCTGATTTTTAAAAAAAATCTTGGGGCATGTGATTACCGGGAATGGAATTCAGGGTAGTACATAAATTACTATGTTGTGTTCTATTTTCCATATGTATCTTTCCTTGGGCTTCAGAATTCAGAACTGCTCAGTATATGATGCTCAGAGGTAGATTGTCTTGTTCAAGTCTTGTGACCCTACCATTTCTGCTAAAACTTACTTGCATTCTGAGCTACTATTAGAGAGCACAGCATTTTTATTCAAATCAGTATCATTAGATTTAGTTCATTCAAAATGTTGGTAATTTTATTCATCTCACATCCCTTCTGGGTGGAATATTCCTGCATACTGTCTACATAGGAAATTTCAGAAGAGAAGGCCTGGTGAAGTAGACGCAGAGTGAGCATGCCAGAAGCGAGCTGGCCATATGCCAGGACATCTCTTTGGATAAGGATACATACCACAGTCCAGGGTCCTTAGACCTGCCGTCACAGAAGCATGGCTTCAACAGCATGAAACTGAGTTGTCTGTAGAAAGTAGATTCATATTAACTAGGATTTTAGATCTTATTATACAAAACCATAATATGAATTTATTTATAGTGAGAAATATACTAATACTCTAGTATTCTAAAAAGTGATGTGGAGCAGCTTACAGAGATACACAAAATTCAATCATTAACGTAAACATTTGACAAGGATGAAGCAAAGGGAAAACAACTTGAAGCCATAAAATATAGAGCTGAGACCATTAAAAAATGTTACCAATGTACTTTCTAAAGGAAACTACAAATTTGCCTCTAAGCTTTTTTTTTTTTTTTTTTTTTCACTTTTTTTTTTGTGTGTGTGAGTGTGTTTGTTTTGTTTTTTAACCATAGGGTGCACACACCAGAGAGAAACAGTGAGAGACGGTGAGAGGGAAAGTGAAATCACTGTCTAGGGAGAATGGTCATGCCACAGTCTCCTTTTTCATTCTCCACAGATTTTGGGCATGCACACATATGTGCCCAGTGTGATTTTTCAAGCTACCTCGTCCAGGTTTAGAACCACAGTCGGCCATGGGGAGTCCAGCACCTTAACCTCTACTCCACCTGCTAACCCAACAGTAAATATTTTTAAGTGAGAAAATGCCGGAAAGCATAGCCTTGTGCCTTGAGTATAGAAGATTTTACATAAATAACATCTAAGTTACTTGTATGTGTATACATGCACATCGGTGTGTTCATGTGTGTGTGTGTGTGTGTGTATGTGTATCACTGTACTGTACTTTCCTATACACATACATACACATATATGTATGCAATATCTATTGATTATTCTACCCAGTTAAATTCTGGGAAGATGTATGTCTAATATCTGAAGTGGAAAACATTCCGTATGAACTCTGAATTGAGGCCAAGATGGGAATGGTACCTTAGCCCATTAGAAGTCATTTATTTCTTAAATAAATGTCACTTATGAGCTTAAAGATTGCAGTGCGGTACCTTCGGAAAGCATCTTCCTGGGCAAGATGAATTCCTCTTACTCGTGAAAGTACAGTTTCTCTGAATGGCCTGAACCACGCATTATCTTTTAATTCACGTCACCAAAAAAGAGGGACGTTGAGTAGAGACCTTGATGTTATGTTGACACCTTTTTTACTTTGGAACTTTCCCTATTTATATTTGTGTTCAACTGTATTTTTATTTTTAATTCTGGGGGCCAATTGTTGATTTAATGAAGGCCTCCTGCCTTCAGTAAAGATCCATTATGTGAACATGATCAATAAGCTGTTCGAGTTTTCCCAACAGATATGTTTCCAGGTTGTTGAGTGTGAAGAACATCGCGTCTGTGTCTGTGAGCATTGGGAGAACAATGTGACACGTATGTGTCTAATGAAACCCGGTCGCTGTCTAATGCTTTCCTGAAGCTTTCTCTCACAGTTTAGAGATGCTTAATCACTCATTCAGAACCATTTTTGATTAGCAGGTACTCCTAACGCTTCAAGTTTCTAAGCTCCCAACCTTTTTTTTTCAATTGGCCAACTCTCTTAGAATCCCTTCAGCGGTATACAGTGCCTTTAAAGAATCTGCTATTTAAAGGCACCTTGGGAGGAGTCCCCTGATTCACACATTTGCATATGAGGCCAATGTTCTGAGGGTGTTTGGGAAGTCAGCAGTTCTTACAATATTGACAACAGCTTCTTGGCCAGGGTTGGCATTATCTAGCTAAGGCTTGCTACTTACTGATCTTTTCCATATATCAGTTTGCTTAGCTTAACTGCTTAGGTCAATGTCAATATCAGCTAATTAATATTGGTATTGGCTAACCCCATAAACACCCGGCATACATACATACACACACATGCATACACATTCTGAAGTGGACACTTTAAAATAGCATGAATTTTAAATTCCATTATGAAACATGGTGGGGTTTTAAATAGAACATCAACAAACAATGCCATCAAGCAATTAAAACATAATAAAGCAAATGAGCCTAAGTAACTGTAACCTTATAGGTCTGAAATTGTGCCTGCAGCCTGAGGAGCATAAACTCATGAGAACTAGGGAGCAAACCTGTTACGCCAGAGGATTAAAAACAGACGAGGCATACTATAGAGATATGCTAAGCATCGCTTACGGCCCTTGCATGTGGTACTTTTGAGCAGAAGACCACATTCGCTTGTCTCACTCTTCAGCCCCACCACGTGCTGCATCTCCATCTCCCGGGTGTCTCCTATCACACACACAAAGAAAGCAATTTCCATGCCCCTCACCAGGTCTGAAAACACTTCCTCCTCTGATCCCTCTGTTGCTCATCACACGGCTGGCATTTCATTTCCTCACAGTGTGTAGGGTAGTAGGAGGTTATGGTTGACCTTATGTGAGGAATTTAAAGCCCCAAAGAGATGAAGTGGCTGGTTCCC